GGCTCAGCAAAGTATTACATAATTGAATCTATTTTTTCCCATATAAATGCCAGAGTTATAATTTCCACTAACTAGATACAGAGTTATATCCAGGACATTTTCACAGCTTCCTCTGGGGGAGGCATGAAGATAGTGGAAATGAGGGTTCTGGTCCTTGCTTTACCAGGCATCAAACGGAAGACCGTGGCTATCATATATAACCCATATGAGCCTCAGTTTCTTCAACTCAAAAACATGAACTTACTAGTGACTTCCCAGGGAGGACTAAATGAGATACAAGTGTGTAAATTATAAAGCCCAAACTAAATACAGATTAACATCATCCCCTATTTGTGAAATGCCTAGTAAACTTCAGAGGCAAGAAAATCAAAAGCAGAAAATGAAATCACTGGCAAACCTTGGGAATAAACTTAACATTGCTTTTTATAGCCACAGGAGCAAAGATTCTCAAGTTTTATTATCTCCTATTAAGATGGTGAGGGCTAACAGGTTTTACTTAAAAAAGAAAATCTAGAAACAAAAGATATCGGTACTTTCTTGCTTTTTGCCCATTGGTTAATATATGCTATTATTCACATCTCATCTCTGGATCTGCCACTTTGACAATTTACAGAAAAAGCACTTTTTTTATCTCATCACACATGATACTGACAGATACAAAAACCTCTGGCAATGAATCTTTCAGTCCATAAGTAGAAAGGCCAGGGTAGAAAGAAGGTGTTCTCAGTGGAGTGACTAGATTGGGGACAAAGATGTAAATCACTCTTCAAAGGGTCAACATATGTACTATTATATTTAATGTTAATTCAGACCTGATTAAGCACCGATGGATGTCTCAAAAAAAAAAATTTTTTTTTAAAGTAGAGAAACAAAATCGGCGTAGCTGCTGAATCCATGTGTCTAATTTTTTAAATTACCAAATATGAATTATATAAATTAGCCTTGATTTCAACTAACAAGCTGTGAATATTTTAAATGCATGAATGTATTTCTATTACAAAGTAGTTTTAGAAGATTTGTTCCATACACAGGGTTTTACTGATTGTTAAAATTATTTAAAAGCATTTGAAGAAACTGAACTCCAGGTCTACTTTCGCAGATTTTCCATCCATCCATCCATCCATTAACTTTTTCTTCTAGTAAATGCTATTTGTAAATATTATCTTCTTAGATTCCCCAGAGCAAATTATAGAGTGGCTGTGTGCTATTGTAGGTGCTTTGCAATTATCTATTTGCTGATCTCACCCATTTTTACTGTGATTCACTTGAATGGGAGAGAGAAAGATGGGAGAAAAAGCAGTTTAGAGAACTATATCTAGTAGGTATTAAAAATCAAGACTTGAATCACATAGTATATATTTATTTTCAAAAGAATTATTTTTATTTATAAATTATTATATACATGGACAGCATTAAGAAATTATATGGTTCTCAATTCAAACTGACGGCAAAGTGATTTACTTGAGCATGATGTTGCTTTGCATTTCAAGTGATGTGGTTACTAAGTACATAAAGCCAAGGGGCTGTCTATGAATATGGTACTTTAAAAATATTCTCTGCTTCATGGAGTACCCAGGCTTCCCCTCTACCCATGCACAAATGCATTCATACTTTTTCATCTTTAACAGAACTGACCCCTTCTTGTCAAATAAGCACTTAGCTCAGTACTGGTGGCCATTTGGGTTTTATCTTTTTCAGATCCAGCCATCATCATCCTCTGCCAATTCCACCCATCATAGGTTCCATAAATGGGACATAAATCTCAACGAAAGGATACCACAGAAAGGGTGCTTAAAATGAGACTAGGGATTGAATCCAAATTTCACACAGTAAAAAGAAAGGGAGATTCTTCAAAACCATAAAATCATATGTATTAAAATTAGACATAAAAGTAACCACCAAAATGTAGAGTATTTTTTTTTTAAAGTGGTAAGGTGCCTTGCATTTGTATATGAATCAGGCTGAAAGAAGAATCTATTATGAGACAGAAATTCCCCTTCGGCCTCCCTTCACTTTTATAACTCCATTTACATGAACACAGGCTGAGCGCTCATATGAAGCAAAGGGACATACACTCCACTGAGACAGATGGAGCTCCGCATTTCTTTTCAGCGCTCGGCCGCTGGGTGACATTTGGCCAGTGCACTTTCATGATGAGCAGAACAAGTGCTCCCCTGATTATAAATGTTATCACTGCCTCTTTCCGTTTGCCCAGGATGCAATCCAAATGGTAGTGGAATTTTGTTGTTAATTAAACAAAAACAAAACTGAAGGATGAGATGAGAGTTGCTCAAATGAAGATTTATTACTTCTAAGCATAAAACCACTTTAAGCCAACTTATTTGACAACTAAGGCAGAGGAAGGATTTTCTTCTTTGGTGAGTTCAAAAGGCCTGATTTAAAAACATCAGTAAATCAGCCAACAAAGAGAATGTTTCTCTTTTATGGTTGCTTGTTCTCTCCTCCCTTGTCCACATGCAACCTCATATCCAAAAGCTATATTGAAAAGAAAGTGTTTCTGTTTTGCATGAAAAATCTAATTATACAAACTCTTACATATGGAACCAATTTAACTATTAAAACTGAGAGGCAGCAGGGAAGTATTTAATATGATTCTGGGCCAGGTTTTTTTCCTTTAAATCTGATATGGAAACATTTACGGCATCTCTCATTTTCCCACAGACTATTTTCCTTCAGTTAAAGTTTGCACCAAAGCAAGATAATTCCATTAAAACACAGGATGTCATGATATTGGGAATGAAATATTCTAATTGTCCAGATACTGCATGCTCTGTCTCTGGCAGCTGAGCTTATAGAAAAATTTCATTGCCAGTACTTTGGAGCTACTTTTCTCAAAGCACAATGCTACGAATCTATTATTTTATGGCAGCCAGAGGTCACTCCAAGACAAAAAAGTGTGAACAAGAGCTTTTGGGGAGGGGGAATGTGTGAGATTCTTGTGATTCTACTAGTAAGGGATAGTTTGTAGTAGAACTTCACTTTATACTAGAACTATGTCAAAAGCCTGTGTTCTATGTAACATCAACATTAAATTATGAGAACATACTTTCCTTATTGTTTGGTGGTTACTGTTCATTGGGGGTAAAAATCAATTTAAAATGTCTCAGCCTCTGTTTTTTGAATTCAACACAAACTACACTAATAAAATGCATGAGGAATGGCATTGATATGCCACAATTAGCAAAAGCTCTTATATAATTTAAGGGAAAATAGGAGAAAATGACTTCACAAAGGCTATTTGAGTAATTTTACACTTAGAGGATTAATGAAATGCAGGAACATCTTGAAATTTTTTTTTTTTTTTTTTCTTGTTGGGGGGGGGGGTGGGGGACAGAGACAATAGATTTCTTTTACATAAGAACTCGCTAAGAACTCTTTAACATATTTTTCTTCCCAAATGATTTTTACATGCTTAAGAGCGTGTATCACGGGAAGGTTTCCTCTCTTTTACTATATCAGTTGCATATTCTGAGAATGATTAAATCCCATTCCCCGCAAGCCTCAGGGGAATAGAAAGAAAATTTGCTTTAGGGCACATCGTACAGAAAGATTTCATCTCAAGCAGCTCATCTTAGCACCCACTACGTTTCGACCTGTTAATAATTAATAAAAGAGATGCCACCCAATCTCTAATGAAGAAAGGCAAAGCTCGGTGATCCGAAAATAAACCCAGTTTAGATACCAAACTGGTGTCCTCCATCCTGGATTGCTACAAAATCCCAACGTAGCAAACATTTAAAGCGCCTAGGGCGCCCGCACAGCTGAGCAGAACCCACAAGACAGACTGGGTCTGCACCATTGCTGGGTGTTCGGGAGCCCTGTCTACCGCCAACAGATGGGGCTTAAATCCCCAAGCCCGGCGGCTGGGCCTGCGAAGCTGCTCAGGCAGATTATCCACTGCCCGGAACCAGCAGACGCAGGAGCGGGCTGAGTTTTTCCGGGGCTGTTTGCAACAGTCTAAGAGGGTTCGGTTTCTCGGGGCAGCACAGGACGACTTCCTGCACACCTCCAAACTTTGTCTTTCCTATCAGAAACTTCCCTGACTTGCTTGCCACGGCTCCTTTCCTCCCCACCTGAAAGCACCTCGAATCAGTCTTCCCACTAATCATTTCCCCCTGCCATCCGGCTACTAGCCAGGCTAAGGAGTCCTGGTCAGGGCGTGAGGCCGGGTGCGCAGGATTGGCCTCGACTAACCCGCGCATGTCGGCCCTCACCACGGTCTAACCTCCGTTACTGCCAGCGAATCTTGTGGGCTGATAAGTTGCCTTCCCACATCCACTTACAAACGTTAAGTATCAAGCGGGGGTGCGCTGCGGCTAGGGCGGCGGACGACAGCGTCTTGGCAAGCTCAAGCGCGGGTCTCGCTTGGGCCGCGCGCTTTCGGAAGTGGCCGCGGCGGGACGCAACACTGACTCGCCGCACTTCCCCGGCGGGCGGCAGCTCGGGCGCTCAGAGCCGCTGGACAGAAAGGGCCCAAGGCCTGGGGCGCTAACCAGTCCCCGGGGTGACACCACGAACCATTCGCACACTCTGCCGGGCCTGGCCACAGCGCCTCCCCAACGTAGGCCGGAGCTGTCCGGAGTGCGGGCTCCGGGAATCGGCCGCGTTTGCCCCCAGCTGCCTAGACCCTTTCCTCCCTCCGCGAAGCGCGACACTCCCGGCAAACTTTCTTTTGGGAGCCCCGCCAGGTGCCAGGCGGACCCAGGCGACTGACAGAAGCAGACGAGCACGGAAAAGGGGGAGGTGGGGGGGGGAGTCCAGCCCGTGCGCCTTTGCCCCTAAGAGGAGGCAGGCCGATCCCGCGGCCAGGCTCAGGTGGCGCCGCTGCGTTGGCCCAGAAGGCCCTGGCGGGGCTCCCTCGCCGAGCCCCGGGCAGTACGTGCGCTCGGGCAGGCGCGCCCACCCCTCCCCCTGCGCGCCCTCCTCCCCGCCCCCCGAGCAGCCAGCCCACCCGGCCCCGGCGGGGCGCCCGGGCTCACCTTTCATCGCTGCGATCACAAAATACATCATTTAAGCCGCGGTGCGGAGAGCGCAGGGAGAGCGGATTGTCCGACCCCGGAGCCCCCTCTGCCGCCGCCGCGCCGCAGCCGCCCGAGCCACAGCAGCAGCTGCCGCAGCTGCCCGCCCGCCGAGAGCCATCCCGAGCCATAAGAGGCTCCATGTGACCGGCTGACATCACGGCCGCCGCTCTGTTTACACCGCGCCCCTCCGCTTCCTCTCGGGGCGGGAGGCGGGAGGAGGGAGGCAGGCGCGCCCCAGCGCCGCGCCCCGCCCCGCCCCCGCGGGCAGGTGAGCTGCAGCGGCTTGGCGGGTCCACCCCGGCTCTGCGCGGCCCTCGGGTGCTCAAACCCCCAGCCTAATCTTCGTATGCTTGGTCACCTGTGGCCGCCCGGGAGCTTTCGGCGCTCAGAGCCCAGAGGAAAGCGCGTCTCGCTACTTTCTCTCCCAACTCCGTATGGCAAGAGACGCACAACCCGACGCCACTCTCTTCCTTTCCCGAGCCTTAGCCCCTGACAAATAGTCCAGCCTTGGGGAGAAAAGGAGAGTCTGGGGGGATGCTTTTCTCTTATTTTCCCAAAGTGCCCCAGCTCTGTTGGAAAGGTACAGCCTCCACTACGCAGGTGGAGAACGCAGCCACTGGGGACCGGTTCGAGGAGAGGAGAGAGGGGGAACTCCACCCATCCAACTCTTGGTAAACCTCTTCATACCAACATCTAAGGTCCTGGTTTTTCCCCACCCTCCGTCCGGCGTTCAGGACCACCAATACCTGGACGACGAGCAGAAAATTGTATGTGAGTGACCTAAATGAGCTCCAGTTGCCGGTTGATTTGAGCCACTAAATTCTCAGACTTGTCATATCCAGCACTCTCTCCAGAGAACCCGTCTACAAGTAGAAAAGGCTCTAGTTTTCATACCCTAAAGATGAGACATTGTGTTTTGGACGGGGCGGGGTGGGGGGAGTCTCTAAAGGCCAACTTTGCGAATTTTAACTTGTAAGACTTAATTTCTTCCAAATTTTGAAGCTTAATCCTTTTTACTAGCCTCATGAAAACGTAAATTATGACATAATTATTATACAGATGAATTTCCTTACGATGAATTTCAGATGCTACTGAACCTAGAATCTGCATTATTTAAAACTTTGGTCATTGTATCTATAGTATTGAACATAACAGAAAAAGATTCTCAACGGTACCTACTGCTGTTCCTTCCTTCGAGAAATTTCAATTCTGCTTTCTTTTCTGCTGATTTGTCCTCTTACAACTTAAAATATTGGATGGCTATTTCTTTTTATAAATATTAGATGGTCATTTTTTTCCCCCATACAACTGAATAGCCCTTGTCTGAGTTGGGCCATAATTTAAAACACATGCAGATAATCAGCACTGTAGAAAACAAAAATTCACACACTCCCCACCCTCAACCCCCTTTCAAGGCAAAATTAAGTTTTCCAAGCATATACACAGTGCTCTAATTTAGAAAGCCAGAAAAGTCCATTGTCTTTCAATCCAACTGTGGCTTTATAAAAAAAAAGTTTGATCTCAGATAAATCCATCCCAGTACAGTTTTTTTTCCCTTTAGAATACTTTGCAAATAAAACCACCAAAATAAGAAATTATGAAAGTGTGAAGCCAAGACCTACCCATGTCAATTCAGCTGTCCAGCCATAGCAAAATGGACAAGAGTTTCAAATGAATTAACCATACCCACTGTAATGTTTACAATTATGAAATTGAATCACACCATGTTCCCATGATGCAACTATATCTCCCAGTGAGGCAACGCCTCTGTTACATGGACACCATCATTCAAATTTGGTTCTTGATTTTCTTTGTGCTAACAATTAGAAGAAGGAAGGATAAGACCAAACTATCCTGTTGGTAGGTCCTGGATCCAATTTCCTTTTTCTTATATTGTTAAAGGATGAAAAAAAAATCAGAGAATGCATTTTCCTAGTTATATTCTTCCATACTTGATGTAAATGAATTTGGATGTACAACTCTGAGAATTTACAATGTCTCTTTAAAACAGTATCCAGCTTTAGAAAATAATGCTTTGAAAACAACCAAATCCATTAGCTCTAGCCTGGCTGTCAGACATCTGACTCCAAGGTAAATAGTCTTACATCACTAGTAATCGGTATTTATTTCCAGACCATTTCAAATGAAATTGGTAATGGGGAGTGACATGTAACGTGACATATGCTCCTGCAATTACAAGTAGTAGAATTATTTTTCCTATAGAAATGTCCCCAATAGTAATATAATCTCATAATACTTACTTGAAATATTCACACATTTATTCAACAAAGACATTTCCAGGATAATGTAATACTGACCTTGCCCTTTTAGAAACGTATTTCATTCGCATCCTACAACTAATGAGCAACAGAATTTCAGATATTAAGTCTTAACCTTCCTGTGTGGCTAGATGCTATTTGTAATTCATGCCTCTATTAAATGTCTTCAGCTTTTAACCCAGGGTATATTACTGTTCTTTATATTAACACATGCTCTCACAAAACTTTTAAAGTAAAGATGAGAGACTGTTTTTTTTTTTTAAAAAAACACTTGAAATATAAATTTTCTTTGAAATTATTAAGTTTCCAAACAAACAAATCAGCTAGGAATGAAAAAATCCATATCTACTTCCAATAATACTAAATTAGAGCCATAAATGATACATTTCAGTAAATCTGTACCCACTGTATATTAAAATACAATAATATAGAAATATGATACAATATTAAAACAAGACAAGTGTGTAGGAATAATGATGAATTTTAGTAAAGGATCAGAGTACTACAATGGGGGAAACAATGCTAAGCAATATATTTTTTCCATCTTTTTCTTTTTACCAAGTGTACTGAAAAAGAAAAAATAATAATATTGCTACGTGAAGATAACTAAACGGGATGGGAGTTCTTTACCACGAATAAGAGTGTGTTATATATTAATTCCCAACTTACATTTTTCTGTTGGCTTTTTCTCAGGAAAAGAAGGCACACAAGATACTTATAAAGACAGATAATTTTCCTGAGTCCCCCAGAGCCCCACATGGTGTCCCTGTGTGCTGGATTTCATAGTGGATCTGGTACTTGGCAAGGAAGTAGGGAGATACTTCTGATGCCAGATTGTTCCAAAATGCCTATGGGGTTGGGTGGGGGGAAGCCTGGTGCCCTTTTGCAGGTGTCTAGACTGTAATATCATTAGTAAATTGGTACTAATCTTCCCACTTTCAGAAGAAATGATACTTGACTTTATGGTAATGTATTTGGTTTTTCACCACAAAGGATCTGATCTCATAGTATACCACCGTGAATTACACATACAGTGTGCTATTGGGGAAAATAGTCTTTATCCCAAGTCTCCTAGGATGAAGATGATTTTAAAGTTTTAAATGCATGTGAAAGAAAGCATTTTGGTTCTGTCTTGCCCAGGCCCTGTGTCTCTCTCTCCAGTGTGTGGCAGCTTGCTAATTCAATTAATTTCTTTCTAACTGAACAAGAAAGGGATCAGTGGAAGGTTAATGTGGTCCTAGGCAGCTTGATTCAGCTGAATCGTTGGCCATCCTGCATTGTGATCTTTAGGGGTTGGACCATTCTGTCCAAAATAGAGCCAGGGGATGAGGTTTCTTATAGACCAAATGGGGCCAGATCCAAGAGTTCTAGAAAAATTACTCAGGAGATTACACAGAAAGCACAAACTTAACTACATTGATCAGAGCTTTGCTTAATTTTGAGTCCAGAAGCAGCCAGTGTCCAGTAAGAAAGGGAAACTCCTTATTTAGGAGTGTTAAGGGGAAGGGGATAATCCTATAAATATTGTCTTTTTCATAATTAAAAAATTTTAATAGACACAATACCTTGATTTTGTTTAATTTTTTTAGAGAGAGAATTTTTTTTTGAGAGAGAATTTTTTAATATTTATTTTTTAGTATTTGGTGGACACAACATCTTTATTTATTTATTTATTTATTTTTAATTTTTATGTGGTGCTGAGGATCGAACCCAGCTCCCCGCGCATGCCAGGCAACCGCGCTACCGCTTGAGCCATATCCCCAGCCCTTGTTTAATTTTTTATGTGGTGCTGGCTGAGGATCAAACTCAGTGCTTCAAACATGCTAGGTAAGTGTGCTACCACTGAGCTACAACCCCAACATTTTTCATGATTTTTATACTAGACATAGATGTAGATTTAAATTTGCATGCATGTATACATATGCATAGTCCATGAAATATGTTGAAATAAACTATTTTGGTAGCCAAAGACATCTTTGATTTTATACATACCTATTCACATGCACATATTTCTCATAAGCAATCCACAACCACAATTATTGAGTGTTTATTATGTGCCTCCACTGTGCTGGAGAGTCAAGCAAGAACTAGACCATAGTTCTCATCTTGAAGATGAGGTCACCACCCAGCTGACCTTTGCTCTAAAATCCCTACAGAAGTCACTTCCCAAAGTAAGTGAACACTCCTAAAGAAGGCAGAGTGTTGGGTTGCCCATTGGAAAGATGTTTGCACAGCAATTTGCCATTCAGTTGATAGATGGCTGCAAATAATTAGTGTGGCGATTAATGTAATGGAATGATGGAGGTGAAAGATTTGGCAGGAGAGAGACTGTGATGTAGGGATTCTGGGATGTCTGAAAGCAAGTATTTCATTCACCTATTAGGAAATCCAAAGAACTGGCGTATGTTTTGTAACCATCTCAATGAGGAAAAAGGGTAGAGTTCACAAGGCCTAGAGAACTAAGCAACTCCACAGAACAGGTAGGCAGCAGGTGCCTCACTAGACACACGCTGCCAAAGCAGCAAGCAAAAAGACCAGAGGCAAGAGCACCCTCCATTCTGTCAAGTTCCCATGGGCTATGCAAGAGATGGCAGTGGATATACATATACATATATATATGTATATATATTATATAATATATATAATTAAGGGAATTCAGGAAATATGTATGAACTCAGAACCTGGAATCCTGAATCTTGCTTCACTCTTGTCACTAGCTTTCCATTTTCCCTTGAGCAGTCATTTCACATCTCGGGACAGCAGGTCCTTTCCTTGCCTATAGAATGAGGTCGTGAGAATAGGCCTCAAGGTGCTCTTGTGCCCAGACATCCCACATCTGCTTTCAGGAACACTGTCATTCCTTTCTCTCTGCTGTGCCATCTCTATTCACTTCTCTAAGGAGTCTTCTTTATTTCATTGAACTTTATGCTATGGCAGAATGAGCTATGGTTGGACAAAGTTGGGCTCAAGACCAGCCTTCATCCCACTCACTAGCTGAGAGATC